GTTATAATATAAAGGAAAAAATAGCAATCTCCACTTTTGTCTATGTATATAGAGGAATATTATAATTTTCTTTATTTTAGAAGTAAATATAAAGATGGGTTAGAATAAATTTTATTTTAAAATAGAGTTTAATAGAGATAGGTTGGAGATACCCTAAATTATGACTTGTTGTTGACAAACCAAGAGGACAAACCAAGAGGGTAAGACAGGTCATAACTCGGGTAATGGGTTCAAGCCCGTACACGATTCAAAGGAAAGACTTTGGATAAGGATTTTTGGCCCATACGTTTACAAGAGAGATATATGTATGTTTCTAAGCTTATATCAAAGGAAGTTAGAATAGCGATTGCAATTGACTCCAATGTTTTAAAAACATTTTTGCCATATGAAATCAAATCTTAGGATTAGCATTTTGTTGTTAAATAATTTGTAACCCTTATATGTTCAATTTTTTAATGATATTAACATTTTAGCAAAAACAAAAAAGTTAAGATCAAAGAAGAAAAAGAGAAAGAAAAGTGTAAGAGAGACATGGTCAAGGGTTTCAAAGTCGTATATACTTCAGAATTTATTCGGTGTGTGTTCTTTTTCACGCCAGAGCTAAAGCTTTTAGCCTCAGCACTTTCTTCTTTAAGTACTTGTAAGAGTAAAAAATTTAAACATGAAGCTAGACGTGATAGAAAAAAGCTTGATAGTTGTAAACAATTTGCATGTTCGAGTGGATGATGTTGAGGGGACAGTTTCTTACCGGACATACCCGTAAAGAAACTGAATTAATTAATCAATAACAAATCAGAATTAGCTCTAATGTTAGTGAGCCAGATTTAGCTTAATACAAACAAGCTAAAGTTGAAGTTGAATTCGATATTAAAATCTCACATAAATGTGAAAAGTGTAACCATAGTAAAAGTTACAATATACAAAAAAAAAAAAATTAGTTTTACTAATTTAGATTACTAATGTGATTAGAGTGAACACAATATGTCGAGGATTTTAAATGTAAAACCGTAAATACTGGACAGAATAATTTGGACGGGACAAACGACCGGATCTGACCGGCCGGTTAAGATCGGTATTTTTAGTAATTGGTAATGATGTGGGTGCAACGATGAAACGACGACGTTTGTGTGCTCCTGGTCTCAGAGACTCATTTGTATTGTAAACTAGGCATGTCAATTAGGGTCAAATCCCGAAGTCCGGCCTAGTCCGGTCCTAAAAAATATCAGGCTCGGACCTAAATATATAAATCCAAAAAAATCGGGTCTTTCGGGCTAAGCCCATTCCGGCTATTGAATTTTCGGACTTTAATTCGGTTGGACTCGGACCGGCCCAGAAAGTCCGAAATTAAATATATAATTTGATATGATTTATAAATTTAGTAATACATTTTGTTAAAAAATATTTTATAGAAAGTACATTGATTNAAATATTTTTTACATAATTTATTTTGGCCAAGAACCCTAATTCTCCACTTCTCTCTTACTATAAATATTGAAAGAAAAGCTAGTTTCTAAACGCCTCTATCAAGTCTCCACTCTCCACCTTCGTGGCTTCGTCGTTATTCTGTAAGTCACAAGTCAGTTTATTATTTTAATCATGTATTCATCATGTACTAGTAAAAAAATTTACGAATATTGTGAACGATAGATATGTGAGGCGATCTCTACTCGATGGTGTTACAATTTTGTTTTGAGTTTTTTATATAACAAAGTATTGTTGTTTTGTTAGACGTGTCACTGTAATGATTTTCAATACCTAATAATGTGTATGTTCAAGATTCAAGTTTTAGAACATTAGATATATATATATTTAGAGAGGCGTGGCTTGCGTTTGTGTTTAATTGATGGTTCTGTCTTTTGATGATTTTATTCAATTATTAAAATGTTTTGTTTTGAAGATAGGCAGCTAGTGTTTATGTTTAAAACCATTTGTTTGTTTTTTACAGACACCAATTCAAATGGATACAGAGGATAATGATGTGTACGATGTGGAACCAGATGAGTTTAGTGAAGAGGACACACCTTCTCAAAAGAAGAAAACAAAGACGGGTGGAAAAGCTAAACCAAAGAAACGTCGTTTTGTTTCGAAAGTATGGAAACACTTTGATCTTAATGGAAAGAACACTGATGGTCAAGAAACTACAAAATGCAAGCATTGTGCTGCGATACTTGTGGTAGAAAAAAATCATGGAACGTCAACAATGAAACGTCATGCAGAAGGATGTAAGAAACGACCAC